CTGCATTAAAAAAAAAAAAGAAAAAAAAGAAAAAAAAAGGCAGTTGTTTAAACAGTGACTGAAATGTGTTATATGGGGTACCTTTGAAATACACAGCACTTTCATAATGGAACACCACCCCCAATGCATAAATAATAAGAATTTTTACACTTCTATGTTTTGTGGAAGAAAAGGGATTCAAGGCAGCTGAAATATTTCTCAGTTTCTCCCTGCTCATTTAAACAAGCACACATTTCAAAACCCTGTGTGTTTTTTTCTTGCTCTTCTGATTAAAAAAAAAAAAAAAAGGAATAAAAAAGAAATTTATTGGTGTGATTGCAGTAAAAGACTCATGCCATTTTCTGAAACATTAAGAATGTCTGCAGTCTGCTGCTCATTTTGTAATTACAAAAAAACGCAACAATAGGGGGGTTGTGCAATTTTAGGGGAAAAGAGTTCTGCATAAAAATTCCAGCTTTGAACATGTGATCAGTCCTTTTATGGACAAAAAAAAAAAAAAAAAGACACTTCCTTGTATTTGCATTCAATTTCTTTGTGCATCTATAGTTCACTCACATCCTCTACAAACTCATCTGTGTAGTTATTCTTTTTCTTTAGGCACAGAATATGATAACACTATGGAAAAATAATAAAAAAATATGCACACTTCATAATTCTTGCTAAGAGGTTATGTGCTTTAAGATCAAAGTTGAAAGAAAAGCCAGGTAATAGCTAAGCTTAAAAATTAAATAATGAAGATAAAATTGTGCATTAAATGGACCAATTTGAAATATTCCATATTTTAGCATAATTGAAATTTTACATATAATGACACAACCAAAATCCACCAGCGCATTTTTTTGTCTTACTAGGAGAAGATAGATAACAAAAAATATATATATAAAAATAAAAATCAAAGTGGAATTAGCCATCTTGTCTTAAAAAATAATAACAAAAAGAAGCCTTACATTCATTTATGGAACACTTCAGAACAAGAATAAACGTAAATGAATTAAAATGTATATATCATCTGCTGCTTTTTCTATCACAAGGAAATTTTCAGGTAGCCAACTGTTTTGAAATAAATTTCCCTGCAGTTGCTATAGTGATGATAATAAAGTTCCTGCCTCAATTTATGTGATAGAGGTTCCTAGCAGAACACTTGAAAAGGTAAGCTAATCATAATGAAGACACTGTTAGTTCTCATGCTCAGAGCAGCCTCCTTGAATTTAGTTCACAATTACAGGACTCCTCCATTGTTGTCAATTTTGTACTATGTACATTATCATAATCTTCCTCAATGTGGCAGTAACAAATTATGCAGCAGAGACAGTACTACTCTTTTCCTAGGATAAGTCAGTGGACAAAGGATATACAAGTTTTCTGCAATAAACAATGACTGAATCAAAGATATTTCTCTATTAGCTTTTTTTTTCCATTACAGATCTTTGTTTTTCTAATGATGTAATGACAATATATTTTTTTGCTTCTATAATACATATTGTTCAAGTCTCATTTTATCTCAGTGTTGATGCAAACTAAATAGCTTTAAAGCAGTTACCTGTCAAAATGGGTGAGTCATCAAAGCGATGTCAAAGATAAAACATTATTGCTCAGTGTATGTTCTACAGCAATAATTTTGTAAAATAACATAATTTACTTTAAAACATTTGTGAAGCTAAAATAGCTCCCCTAATAGCTGTTTTAGAAGAAAAATATGCAAAATAGCTGACAAAAAAATAGAATGTCATTAAATACTATTTAGATAAATAAGATAAAACAGAAATATTAAATCTGCCAAAACCTAGGACTAATCATTGTGAAAACAATGTTTTAGTTAGACATTTTTTAAAATACCCATTTTTTTGCAACTGCGATGTAACTAAATATACATGCATGTTTCCATGTGAGAGTCTGTATGTGTTTTGATGTCTGTCACTGTCATTAAAGGTGCATGAACACCACTCCCTCTTTTACTTTATTGCTTGTATATGTATTATGCCTACCAGTAAGTGAAATATTTCATTTCATTAAAAAAGAAGGTATTTGGAACAATAAAAAAAATGCTAAACCCACAAATTAAAAGCCAATAGGATATAAAGCTTTATGTGCAAAGGCACAAATTCTGTGGTGATGATATGTCATGTAATAAGAGAGATCAAATAAATTAATGAAACAGCTTGCCGAAGTTAATGGCCATGATGTCAGTAAGCTTTTAATTAATAACTTTCATTATTTTTAAAAAGTTTTTTACAGCGGGACTCCTAAGGAGCCAGGAGGTCCTACAACCAAAGAGCAAAGCCAGTTATGATGATGTTTTCCATGGACTAAAATCCTTATCCCATCTAGACCCATATTCTCAATAACAGCATATGTTCTTTGGCCAAATGCATGAAGCCTTAATCTGACCAGTGACATTCAGGTCAGGAGTACACATATGGTATGCCATACTGACTCAATTAACCATCCATCAATTTAATTGCATAATATATCAGAAGATGTATTCCACTACTACTTACAGTTAGATTCAGGCATGAAAATAAATAGGGTAAAGCAACAATTTTCTGTTGTTGTTTGTTTACCTTAAAGGGAATACTAAGTAGAAACAATAATATATTTTATAAAGTATTTATGTTCTTGGAAAAAAATAATTTTTGACAACTAAACTGATCAGAGGCTGCTAGTTTTAGAAATGATACTTCTTGTAATAAGCAAGTGTAGGTGGATAGCACACCTTACAAGAAAATTACAGCACTTCCACTGATTCTAATTACATTAATGTAGGGATAAGGGAAAAAGAAGGTATATTATTTAAACATTATGTAAATTATGAAGAGAGTTAACACATTACAAACTTACAAGTAGTGACATAGTTGAGTTGATTTGTGCAATCACTCCAGACATCAAATCCTTCTGGAATAACACACATGACAAAAAATGATAACGTGGTGACAAGTTTAAAACAAGAAAAAAAAAAAAAGATGATGACAAAAAGAAAAAAAAGATGATGACAAAAAAAAAGATGACAAAGAAGATGAAGAAAACAATGAAGAAGAGGAAGAAGATAAAGAGAAGAAAGAAGAAGTAATAGAAGAAGAAAATTAAGCTCATATTTTAAACATTCAAGGGCAAAAACTTGAAATAGAAGTCAAACATAAAGCCTTCCAAACTGGAATTCACTGAAATACAGGTTGCAGGTTCTGGTCAATAACAGTGTTATCTAACAAGACCTCTTCAGAATTTGCGTTACTTTTAATCTGTTCATTTCAAAACTAGGCCTTGAAGGTGCATGCCAGTACATGTATAACATTTAGAATTTCATAAACTGGAGTTTGGGATTTTTTTCAGCTTAACCTACAGATCTCCTTTATAGCCTCTATAAACTCTGGACTCGTTTGCTAAGTCTGTGGGTATCACAACTAGTGTATGGACCACTTGTCAGCCACAGGTCATAATACTTTTTTAAGCGTCTTTACTGTACAAAAATCAGTGCCATACTGCTGAAATCCTTTATTTTCGTCTCTGCATTAGAAGGGGAAAACATTCTAGTGTGACTTTTCTTTTATGACATTTTCCTGGGGAACAATGACCAATTCAGTGTATTTTGTTTCTTATTCACCCAGAATATTGAGAGACCTTTCCATAGTTACTTTTTTCTACAAAGACATAAAGTATAGTGGCATGAGACACTCACAAAGTCTAGAATAATGCGATCATGTCACATCTAAAAGTTCAGCAGCAGCAATATTAAAACACTTTTTGATAAACCATTTTGGAATGAGACAAGGAAAACTGCTTCTAAAACCAGTGCTTGGTGTATTTTTTTGAGCATAAACATAAACTTTGCAACATAGTATTTTTAGATTCAGTGAGTCATCACAAGCACTGGGTAAATAATATAGTTCTTGCAGAACAGAAAAAAAAGTCATGGTAAATATAAGCTACTACTTTTTGTTAGATACCTCATAAAATTACCAAATTATTTTTATGCTCAATTTTAATAAAATTTAAACACTTTTATAATAGTTCTTCACCATAATAAGCTTTTTGAAATTTCCTTATTTTTCCGAAGTTTCTTGAAAGTCTGGGTATTGTATATATTCTGGTTTTAAGTTTTATAAAGTAGATTGGTTGAGAAGTTTGTCTAAAGGATCTGGCCTCTGAGTTGGCTTTTGGAGAGCAAAATGGTAATTATTGCCTCTTGAAGATCTAAGGAATGATATACTCATTGAAAAGAAATGTTGCTGTTTTGATGTTATCTGTCACTGGACATATCTGCACATGGTAGGTATGTCTTACCTCACACAGATCATTCCAGTCCCCTACACTTAACACGTCTTGGTGACTTGTCACTCTCCTTGCATCCCAGGGCATTATATAGGCTTCTTTCTCCTTTCCTATGCATTCAGCCTTGCTGGTTGGACAATGTAAGATCTGTCTGGTCTGGGATGCAGCGCCAGAGAGATGCTGCAGTAGACTCCATGGCTCAGGGTTTCCCACAAATAGAAGTCCTACTAAAAGTAACAGCCCTCAGGCAAAGACAGATACAAGGAGTTTATCCCCATTCCATGAGTCACTCAGAAAGGTCTTAACATTGCAGAAAGCTCATAGTTGCATAACATGCAGCTATACATCTGAATTAATCAGTAATTAAAAATACCTGGCCTTGTTGTCATGGATTTGGGGAATTGGACAGATTCCAATCTGTCCAGATTTCTGTTGAAAGAAATTTTCTTCTGAAAGTATTTTTCTTTAAAGAGGTTTGCAGACTGTGTTACAAGCACAGCAGTCAAAGATTGTTGTATTCCTGAAATAGCAACACATGCTTAATCAAGGAACAGAAAACAGCTTGATACAGAAGGTGTTAACTTACAACTGCCAGTAAACTGAAAAGACAACTCTTCCAGTTGTTTCCCTTTTCTGAGGTTACAGTCCTTATGGCAGCAAGAAAGGGACACATTTTAGTCCTTGCTAGACTCTGCAACTTAAACTTAACCTGAATGGAAGTCAGCGCTGACTTACTTTTAGTTGATGACTCCAGCAGTTTAGAAGGTGCTGCAGAACATTTGCAATTCAATGGCAGCAACTTACAGGAGAGGTTGGAGCAGCAACTGAAAAGGGAACTATTTTATCAAACCTACTGAGAGAAATTAATAGCACAATGGTGAAATCACAAACCTCTAATAGCCAGATTCATGTTTTTATCCAAGAATATCTAACAAATTCAGAAGCTGTAGTTTTAGTCCCTCCAAGAAACATCCATTTACTAACCATACTCATAAAACCAAAAAATCACAAATTACTCATGGCCAGCTCAGAAACAGAAAAAGATTATCTTCTTCACAAGAATTATTGTTGCAGATTGTTCCCTTTCTTTTGCTGCTATTCTGATTTTAATATAGCTCATGGATTTAATTATCCATTACAGGATATACTTGTAAAGTGATAAAAAAATGAAAGTACTATAAAATTAATAGTTATTATGACTAATCCATGATTGATACACTAGCTGGTAAGTTTTACATGTCCCAGAATAGCAGTTGAGAGAATATGCTTTCTGAAATCCCTTTAGTGATTGGCCAATTTTCTTCCAAAGTCACCAACCTTCTTTCTTCATAAGATGCATACGACTGAGATGGTGGTGGTGCAACCTTAAAAGCACAGTGTTGGTCAGCCTGTAATCTCAGTCATCCCTTTTCCTCAAAAATCAGTGTCACCTAACCTGCGAAGTTCCTCCATTGCAGTCTCCAAGGCCAAAAGGCTTAATGTAGCACAGAAAGTCCAAATTAAATTCTTGCTCTATAATACTGCTGCATGGCAATCTCTATTTTAAGCCATCATGCTTTAAGGAAGCCTGGTCTTTGTACTAGTATTAGGTGCTGTCATAGCATAAGATGATGTGACAGGAGCACATACTGATTTAGAATTTGCTGCTCTCCTTTTAAAATGTAGAAGCTATCTGAAATGAGCAACAAAGGGGATCCTACAAATAGTCAATGCATGTTTTGAGTCAAGCAACAAATGCTCTTAAGAGACCCAAAAATAGTATTTTAAGGTTTAGTTTGGAAAAAGAAAATATGGTGGAAAGACATGAAAAAGCAAGATACTAGAGAAACACGTTAATTGGGATATAAATTAGAATTACCACATCTAACAGAGCAAGCTACTTCTTAAAAGAGGAGGTATGTAATCTGGTTTATAACTAGGCACTCATCAAAATGGACCCAACAGACACAGGCAAACAAACATGCTCTGCAGATATTCTCACAAGATTGCTCTCTAAATAACTCATCCACATACAAGGCAGCTCATGTTTTTTTGTAGCATTTTAGTTTAGCTTGGGTTTGGGTTTCTTATTTTAAACAAAAGATTGATGCATTGCAAACAGGCAAGAGTCTGGATAAATGAGATCTGATGTTTATTCATGACAATTTTAAAAAATGTTCAGATAGTAAACAAAACTTAATTACTTTAGAAAGACATAAAATATGCTGATATAGGATATAATGCTAAATAATAATCACCAGAAAGCCATCTCATTATTATTGGTTTTGTGTTTGATATGGGTTTGGCCCAAGGCAAAGCCCAGGGCTTTATTTATTTAAAAGGGTATGAAAACAAGACAATATGCATGTTTCATATTAAATATTGTGATGGCATTACACTATGTGAAATGCAATGAGAGAGAACATTGTGAAGCACCGAGGAGAATTTAAAAATTTATATTTTGTTGTACTTTTTCTCAGACATAAGCAGACTTTCTGAGGGATTATGGGAATACTAATAGCCACTATGGTGTGGTAATTTATTGTAATCTTGCAGCAAAAAAAAGGTATATCTACACACGTACATGCACACACACTCCACATCTATAGCTACACCTGATTTTCCTATTGTCATCTGTTATTTTTTTAATTGCAAACCCTGATGAGTTTAAGTCAACATATTTCCTTACTGCTTCTTCTTCTTGTCAGCTGTAGCTGGATTGATAAAATGCAAATGAACAAATCATTAACGAGTACTGGTTATGAATCTCTCAGGCAGTTCAGGACCCTATCAAATCCTGCACCTATTACTTTGTGTGATTGATGTACTATTGTAAGTGATTGTTCCTGATCTTATTAAATCTTATTGATTTTTTCCCAGTTTCTATTTTATTCAGGACCAGGCTTGGACTATTATGAATGTTGCTGAACACTGTTAATCAAGCTTACACAGCTATTTTGATGGCAAACAATTAGAACTCTGAAGCAATACCTTGCAATTAGCTTCGGGGATATGGACCTCAGCACCGCAATAATGAAAGAGACCTTCTCCTTCAAGCAAGGTAATGAGATTTACAATAATGACCCCCAATAACCTCTGAGAAATAACCAATCTGCAAACATAGATGTGTTTATCAATAATTTGTGCACTTTTTATGAAAATATATTTTTAATCTTTTTCTTCACATATGAATCATTGTTTCTACTGAAACAAAGTGTATGAAGTCTTATAAAAATGACAAATATATAAATTGAAAATCTGTACATATAATTTGAATCCAATGGAGGCTTCTAAAGAATGATATGCATCAATAACGTTCAAATTTTGTGAGCAAAATAACACTAAAAACTTCTGAGAAAATGTTGGCATATTATGTACAGATTTGGGTGGTTATTCTTGCTTGAAAATGCTTACTTACATGTTTAGCTAATATACATATTAGGCACACTATCTATTCAGTACGTAAGTAGACAGACATTCATAAACATGTGTCTCTATAAATCCACTGTATGCACTTTTTATTTGAGTGATACAATCAATAAAAATACCCTGATTTAGTTCCTTTAGAAACTGAAGCAATTAACATAGCTTTGGTAATTGTAATAGAGCACTGAACATCATAGGACAAATTTCTGTTAAATCCAAAGTAATTTTAGCATAAAGCTAATACATAAATAAAATAAAATTAACATACTTGCCTAGAAAGTGAAACAGTGTATTCCCAATTTCTTAACTTTCAGTCTTCATCTTCTACTATTGCAGCCTATGCACTTTTTTTTGCTGATCATTTAGTATCGCTATAAACCCTTGTACCTACCTATCACATTGCACTTAGAGATTAACTCATGTTTTTGCTAGTTAGCATATTTGTTAATTTCATGAGTATTTTTTATTAAAATACTGAATACCTGTAAAATACATTTACATAAAGAAGAAATGACTTGAGAATTAGGGAAATTTTGGAGGTTTTGAAAAACCCCTAAAATATTCCTTTTTGTTTCAATGAATTTTTGAAATTGAAATCAAGGCTTTTATAATTTGGCTTAGCTGACAAGATGAAGTGCATCATCATAATTTCCTAGTGCAGGAAAGAACAATTTTTAAATTATGAAAAGTTCACTATTCCTACTATTCTTATATGATAATTACTTGCAAATGTCTCTGCTATATATGGCATTTTCAGCAGGATAGCACTGAGGTGTTAACCACACCTCCCAAACTGGCATGCTCCCTGCTTGTTGCCCTCATACCCAAATCTTTAAATCCCCCACAGAGCAGATTTCTGAAACAGTCCCTGAACAGAGTGTGAGTTCCACAAGTGGAGACTAAAAATGGAGCTTGGGTGGAGATCTGTAGCTGGAAAAAAATGATACTGAGGGTGATCACTTTTTTAAAGCAGAGGATAACAAGATGATAAATACTTTTTAACCCATTGAATACATGTGAAAAATTCAGTCTGATAAGCAAAATACGTACATGTTTATGACTATGTGCAATATACTATATGCTCAAAATGAAACTTTAGAAAACTGGAAGAAATTTCTGGTGCATTCCCAAAGCAGCCATGTAAGAGTTAAATGTGAGAGCTTTGTAAACCTGATGAGACTTAAAAGGTTCAAAAGCTAGCTCACCACACGAGTTTTTCCCGTTCCCCCTTACTTTGAGCACAACCAATATATGTGAGTGACTTTAGTGCCAATTTCACTTTTTATCAAATAAATATACATTTCTTGCTGGATCTAATGGTTAATGAAATGCACATAATATGCAAAATCTATAAAAATGTTGTAGTTGTACATTACTTTCTGACTGTTGTACAACCTTTGTAAACAAAGTATAGTATATCAACCTTCTTGTGACAATATGCAGATCTGTCATCTTCGGGACAACTAAATGAATTATCTAATCAATAACAGATTACATGTCTGGTGATAAGGCAAGCTAGGGAAATTAAAGTGTAAACCAGGTATATATGTCACAAGCAAGGTACACAGGTAGTGTAACATAAATTTAATATTAAGTAGAACAATAATAAAAAGGAAAAAAAAAGAAAAAAGAAAAACTAGACCAAAACAAACAGTGTTAAGACAGCTTAGATAAGAGGGTGGCACTCTATAACACCTAGGGTGAATCCAGTTAAATTTATCCACTACTTTAGTATCAACTCCTTCAAAAAGAAAAAAAAAAAAAAAAAGAAAAAAAAAAGAAGAAAAAAAAAAAAGAAGACAACTGTCCAGAAAGTTTGATCTCTATGGCATTTTGGCAGTACTGTGCTCAAGCCTTTTATTTTCCTCTTATGTGCGTGAAGGTCTCAATTTGTGTGCTATCTGGGTGTGTCCAGACACATGGCAAAGACAGTATTTGCAAGTTTGCAAGCTTTACCATAGGCAATTGCAGTGGTGACGAAGGTTTCCAATATATATCTTCTATGTAACGTATGTAATATACAGGTATATTTTCTTATACCTGCATATTATATATACAGTTTACCCAAGTGTGGATAACATCTTCACGAATGGCAGGCCAGACAGGGTCAGACCTTGTCCTGCTTCTGATCTTCATGGAAACCTACCAAACAACCCCCCAAAAACCAACCAACCAACCAATCAATAAAAAACCCTCAAAAAAACTGAGGCAATCATACTGTGATAGACAGTTGCATATCTGTGTGAAAAGAGAAAAGCATATGTTTAGTAATATTTACTTTTCCAAATCTTCTAGGATTATGACCAAAGAGACTTTTTTCCTTTCCCTAAAATTTTAAACAGAACTTAAAAAATTTTACAAATCTGTACAGCTCCTTGCGGCTTCACATACACAGAGTCATTTCATAAGTTACATTTATGTTATTTCTAAGGAAGAGTCTGTCAGTTCTAAAATTACATAAACAGAGCCAAGCTGTCTGTTTTAAAACTGAATGTCATACAGGGTAGCCAGAGCAGCTGTTACTTGTATATGTGCAATTTTAAAACATTTCTAGCTTTCTTTTTCTCTCCATTGAATATGCATCTTATAACAAAGAATTCAGCTCCTATAATTTACTGCTTTCCTTTTTTCTCTTTCTAGTGTTCTCAGATATTTTGAATAGGTAAAATCCTTTTTAAGCATGAAAGAAATCCTCACTTCTTTCTCTTTTCCTCTCCTTCTTCATACAGTATACATAAATCACATAAGTCTAGAATAATAATACATGTTTAGTGATATGAACACTTAGTATAGGTATAAAGACTAAGTGTTATTTTGATATGCAGGATTAAGTTTGAAACAGGCAGTATAAAACCTTGAAGGAAATAAGAATTTTGTGGTGGAGGACATACACAGGTAAAGATTTGGTTCTGTCCTGTAAATGCCTATGTATTAATATACAGTAATTATAGCTATAAGCCTCTGAATGCTAGTTGTAGTGATGTGTCTCCTTGCTGCCACTGGGCTCCTGACAGCAAATTCCAATTCATCAAAGCAAACACCTCTGCATCGCACAGCAGGTATGATAAGTCTCTAATAACAGTGTATCATCTCCAAGTTATATGTATTAAAACCACATTCATCAAAGTGTAGTATTACTCTTTAAAAGTTGTTTTTCCTGTGAGGATTTAATGTTCCTCAAGAATTCTTTTTGTCATCATGGACTTCTGTACATTTGTTCTCCTGTTCTTCTGTAATCCCTTTAGGATATGCAGGTATTTATTTGTGTAGTTGAGTTACAGTTTGCACAGCTGATCTCCCTTCTGAGGTAACTTGCCCACCCAATATGACACTTATTCCTATAACTTGTGTCAAAACTGCCTGCACTCACACCTTCAGCCCTTCTGAAATGAAATCCATAGTTGGGGCAACTGTAACGAAAAGAAGTGACTTGAATATGAAAGTTCAATTCACATCTTTAGGATGGTCCGACACAGATCTTCTTCAGCTTAATTTGTGGCAAGTAGCAATCTGGGCTTCATTTTATATGTTGTATGTGTCAGACAACAAGCTAGAAGGTGATAAAAAAATCAAGGGTATGAATAATCTGGGAAAAAAATCAAACTTTAAATAAACCCCAAGTTTCTTTTCTTAGCATTTGTGTACATAAAACAATTAATTTTGAGTTATGATGGGTGTTCATTATGGTGTAATTTCTCCATAGTATTTATATCTTCATGCCAGTATATTTTGGACAGTGCTAAACAGATCTGATACTCAGAAAATTATAGTCACATGCCATCAAGAAAAGGTATTATCAAAGATTATTAGCATACAGGTGGAACTGAATGTATCAGAGACAGGCAGACACCAATAAAATATTTAAGTTTTATGCACTTGAATTGAATACATAAAGCTAAGCACAGACTAATTAGGCTGCAGACACCAAGTTATCCTTCTCTCTGTGGAAAAAAATATCCCTTTGGCTACTGGTATGCCTGAGGCTTTCTTTATGTTAAGTTCCTTTTTCCTAGTAATACACAGAACCAACCTTTAGAGAGATATCTGGAAGTGCAAATTAAAACTGTTTCAAGTTTAATTAGGAGGCTTAAGTATGAAGAAAATTCTATCATATGATAAAGTATTTGTTTAAATGTGAATGTAAAAAAAAAATAAATCACAACCAGTTCATTCTGTTTATCTTTCGGTTCTCATGCTTTTTCTATCAGATCACCTCTTGTTCTCCCTCATTACCCCTCACTCATTTGTATTTATGATCACCAAGTTATTATCCTCTCTGATTTTGTGATGCTCACAGATTTGTCCTTCCCTCCCTAACCTCACTCCCCCCCTGTTATCACTATGGTCTCTAATTTCAGCTATATCTTTCACTTCTTAGCTTTTTTCTTTATTTATTTTGTCTGCTCCTCTGCACCTTAAACTAACCCAAGCATGCAACATCTGTGTTTCTGTCTCCATTTACTCATCTACTGAAGAAAAACTAGGGAATGTCCCTAGTCTTCCCTCTCCGTCCTTTTATCTCCCCCCCCCGCCCCCATCACTTAAGAGAAAACATAGAAGACTTTGTTCCGAATGCCTATGTCTGTCACAACCTGTAGTTTTCCTTCAAACTTTCTGTTGATTTAGCTATGTTTTGCTTTACACATTTTCAATTCCTTCACTTCTTCAGATTTTATTTTTTTACATGCCCAGG